AGAGAGAGAGAGAGAGAGAGAGAGAGAGAGAGAGAGAGAGAGAGAGAGAGAGAGAGAGAGAGAGAGAGAGAGAGATGCTGCTTATCATAATAGACTCTGATAAACTGAGGCCAGCCTGGCACCAGTCAGACATTACCATAGACATGTATAGGATGTGAAAACGAGAACGTTATACACAGATTTCACACTAGGATACCAGGCAACATTCCAGGAGAAACAGACAGAACAAGAGAGAGGTAGAGAGAGCGGCACTGGCCACTAGAGCATTTATACAGACACCAAAACCAAATTGAGAGGAGTGGCAAAATTGCAGCCACATAATGGAGCATAGCAGCCCTGCCACATGGAGGATGCGAGACAAAGAAGAAACAGCAACGTATTCAAAGCACAGAAGGACCAAACTGCAAACTTATAAACCAAACTTCAAGGAAGAAGCAAGCCTATAAAACACTCTATCCAATCGTGTACTTGGCAGGTACCAGAGTAATGATGTCAAGTCAGCATACAACAGTACCTACCAGCGCTCTAGACACTTGAACGCCTTCGTTAACAGCGCCGTATTATTGCCTGTTGCAGCTGACAGTGAAACCTCCTGGAGTAGCTTCAAAACACTCGGGCAGCTCTCCTGCATACACTCCCCAACCTGTAATGCACCATTTCCTCATATCAATCATAGCAACAGACACCCATATAGAGGGCCAATGACAGCTGCTGCCTCCACCTCCTCCTCACGGCCCAATAATTGCACTATCAATATAACCCCTAAGATGCACATCAATCCTTACTGCAACTTTCCACTGCAACTACACTCCTGTGGATAAGGATGAGAATCATCAGATATTGCACCACCATGTTTCACGAAAGGAAAAACCTTATCACAATACTTTGCACAAATAGTTATTGATGCAAGGAATCAATGCCAGCTATGCACTAGACAGTACTAATTAGCGACATATCATGTCAACAAGTGTGCATTAGGGCCTCGCCGCACAATTCGCCAAAGACCAACATCATGAATGAATGTGGATCATGAGATGGGTCCGGACACATTCGGAACGTTGGCATTTGGCACAGCGAGGCCTTTAATTATGATGGGTCATTACTTAGCTACGCAATCCTTGACTAAAGCATTGCCACATAATTGCATGGGTAAATCAAGCAAGCAAATGGACACCTTGACAACAGAGAGGGGGGGGGGGGGGGGGGGGGGGGGGGGTTCCGCCCTACCTCCCAGTAGTGGGCCCTTGAGCGAAGCAGCGTTTCCTCTGCGAGTGCTGTGAGAAGCTCAAGAGCCAGACTGTTCTCCATTGCCGGAATCTCTTCTGCAGCATTTCCAAAGATACGCTCAAGCAACTGGTCCACACCCACCACAGACAGAAAGGGTTGGTGCGAGCAAACTCAGCAAAGTCATCCACTTTTCTTAACCCACCAGTCCTTTTCCCAGCCAAACTTCTCTGATGCAGCACACTATGCGCCGCGTCCTTCAGGATGTACCGTCCTTTCATCCAGGCAAAAAACACGTCGTGTGTGCAACAACTTTGCCTGGATGTATTTGCCGCCGCGGCAGCAGGTCCGCACATCTCGAAGGACGCGGCACATGCATGGTCGCATTTCGGAATTTTTTCCATGAAAAGTACCGGTGGTTTAAGTGGTATCACTAACTTTGGGCAAAGTGGGGAGTCCCAATCCCACAGCGAAATCCATCCTGGGAAGATCATCGGAATTCCAACCTCGTGATACATTGCGGAAGTTGAACTGAAGCAATCTGTCAGAGTCGCCTTCTTTTTCGTGGACTTTGTGCATCGCAAATACACCACACAAACACACAGACAGAATGAGATGGTGAAACATGTGCAGTATTCCAGACCAAACGCAACGGGTAAGACAGTGACTCAGAAAGATAACAATAGTAGCCTGGGAGAAAACAGAGGCAGTATGAGCTACAAGGCAACAACACAAGTAGCACTCCACCAGAAGTTATCCAGACAATTGGGCCCTCCTACCACACGAACACCCTTTGAACTGCAACTTGGTTGGAGACCGTTCATGCCAGTCAACTTCTTGGTCCCCGATCGCCAGCGGAAGTATGTCCCTGAACAATGGAGCTCGCAGTTCAGTTCACCTCAGCAGGCGATTCAAGCCATGCAGAAGCCGCAGGAAGAAATGACAGACAAAGCCAACAAGCACCGCCACTCTTCTGTATCCACGGAAGGAGACCTCGTATGGGAACGCATAGACGGATTTGCTGCAGCAGGTGTTTCCAAGAAACTGCTGCTAAGGTGGTGTGAACCTTGGTCTATACTTCATGTTGTTCGCGAAGATCTCAGTGGACCCTCCTTGTCGTAGACATTCCTCCTCGTCTAAAGACGTACCCAGTATTTCACGCATTAAAGTTGAGCACTTGAAAGCCAGAAAGCCCGATTTGTCGTAGACATTCCTTCTCATCTAAAGATGTACCCAGCATTTCACGCATTAAAGTTGAGCGCTTGAAAGCAGGGGTATGCACCCTCCACCGATGGATGGGTACACAGATAACGACAGAATCCTGGAGAGGTCATCTAGTACCCAATGCTTGGCGACCTTTTGTTGATGATTTATGAATTCGATCTAGACTTAGTCAATGAACAAATAAGTGGTGTACGAGACGTTAAACAAGTATGGGAGCACAAGAGGAACCAAGTATCATATACATAGTTTTTTTTTTTTTTTAGGTCAGGAATTTCCACAAGAGGAACCAAGTATCATATACATAGTTTTTTTTTTTTTCGGTCAGGAATTTCAATGTGACCCTGAGGCAAAAAGTTGTTCACCTTATTTTTCTGCATCACATGGTNTTTTTTTTTGCTGGGACCTTCCCTGGTCCTTGCACAGCCAGGCTGCCCGTCAAAACAGGGTGACCCGGGCGGCCCCGGCTGGTAGCCTAGGTGACAAGTTGACAACTTCACAATCATATAAGAAATTGGTAAGAATTTCTCCGTCAGGTGTGTCTGTTCAATTTCGGTTTTCCAGCACAGCTTCCAATCGAGTGTGATTACTTCAAAGCCGTTGTGAGTTTGTAGAAAAGTGTTGGATTTGCATGTAGTCTTGCTTGATCGTAAGATAGGCAACACTTCCCATTCCCACACAGTTTTTTCACTTCGCCATCCGTGCCATGACCTCCCCCCTCTCCCCCTTTCACCCCCCGTTGTCCCTTCTTCTGCAGGTTGGTTGGTAGCTTCTACCTCCCATTGTGTCCCTCCTCCTGCTGGTCTGCGGTAAATTGCAGAATCATAGGAAAATAAGACAAATCGAGTACCTAAAAAAAAAAAAAAAAAAAAAAGATGAATCGAGGATATGTCCCCACAAACAACATCCGCCACCATTTTTCTTCTTAGTTTTACACTTTCCTTGACATTTCTTTTGCTTATTACTTCTACATTTTCCCATTCTTCCCTCCTTTTCCTGCAGGTTCATAGCCATCCCGACATCCAAAAATTTGTCAATCAACAAGAACAGGAAAACAGGCATGACCAACAGCACTAGCTCAGTTGGTACACCCACGAAATGTTTGAAATACAGACCTGAGTTCGAATCCCCTGCTAAATCGAATCAAATAATTCTGAAGTCTGAATCCCTTGGACCCTTGCTAAATAGGGTCAAGTAATTCTGAATTACCTGCGGCCGGTCAGTTCAATGGTAATATCTCACGGCTGTTGTCACCCTTCAAAACACGAACGAAAAAAAAGAAAAAAGAAAAAAGGTATGGATGACGCACCTCCCAGCAAATTCCAGGTCCTGCCAATGCAGCAACTGCCCCAACCACTATACACAATCGAGAGCGGACAAGACTGTCCTCTGTTCTGGGGACATCCCTCAGCAAACCCTCGAAGAGGTCCTGAGCATCTGCCGGTGAAAGCTGCATCCAATCAAGCCGCACCTTGGAGAGGAGCATATTTAATGCAAAGAAACGAACATCTGCTGGGATTGCAGATGGTTCAGCCACCATGTTCCCAGTCTCTGCCCTTTTGGTTGTCGGGGCATCATCTGGCCCAAGAGCCAAGGCAAATGTAACACGCCATCCAGCCGGATCCGCCGCAAGCGTAGTTATGTACTCGTTGGCTTTCTTTCGACGCTCGGGATCCGAATCCCGCAGAAGAGCTATGATCTCTGCCTGCGCCTCTGCAACACACGTGTCCAAATCTGGATCATCCAAACCATTGCCATTATCATCATCATACTCAACAATGTTGATGGCGACGATTGGCGGAATGGCATGGGGGACCAGATCACTGAACCGCTCCATTCTTGTACCAGCTGGGACTGCTGCCAAAGGGTGGCAGTGTGATCAAACCAAAAACTACTCCTTTCACAACAGCACCCTCCCGCCTACCTCCGACTTCTTACTGCCCTTCTCTGCACCCCAACCCCCCCCCCAACCCCCCACCCCCCTAGCAACAAAACCCCCAATTCCCAAGGTGCGCTTTAGCAGACCTGCAACGACACAGCCACAATTCACCAAAGTTATGCTCAAATCAAAGCCCAAAAAAGGGGAAACAAAGAACACCTTCATGGAGAAATTGCACTTGAGCTCGTTCACATCGACGGATTATTACTCCTACAACTACCTTAAGCCAAGGACGTTCCTACATAGTGTGTCTGTGTACGGCCCTAAAATTAACAGGAAAAGGAAAATAGAGCTTAAGAGAAAAACATCCACGTCCACAGCTGGAACACCCCTTCGCCCCTGCTGCTCCCAAGGCCACCTCACATGCAGAAATGCTGGAATATGCCAAACTGTATTACTTGGACATCCTGACGGCCCGACACATAAATGACACAGTGAACACAGACCTATCTCTGGAGCTAGACATGTGGGAGGACACCACAGTCCTTCTCTCCGAAGCAGACAAGCTAGCTTTGGATAGGCCAGTCACGGAGGAAGAACTGAAGCAGACACTGAAGGCGATGGCACCTGGTAAATGTCCAGGGAAAGATGGGCTCACTATGGAGTTTTATCGAGCCTGCTGGGGGGCCTTGGGTCCAGCTCTAGTAGAGGTCTACAACGAGGTGCTCTTGAATTGCAAATTGGGGGAGCAGATAACACATGGGTTGATTTCTGTCATGTTCAAGAAGGGGGATAAGGCCAGTATAAGGTACTACCGTCCTGTAAGGACCTGCCAAACACAGACTGAGACACACAGCTGATTTCTGAGTTTTGCTGATGGAATGTATGCCTTGCTGAGTTTCCCGCTTGTTGCTGAGTTTTCTAAGTCTGAGTTTGTGCGTGCTCGCTGGTCTGCGTGCCTGTCTGAGTGCTTGTTGGTTTGAGGGTGTGTGTGACCCGCAAGGGTACTTGACCATGCGGGAGGCCCGAAGGGCTGGTACTTACCTGTGGCCGTGACATTGAGGGTTGCAGCCGGGAAAGTGGCAGGGAAAGAGGCCCACGACACTTGAAGCAGCGGAAAAACACTCAAGTAGCAGGTAGGCTGGTATCACACCAAGTAGAGGTAGATGTGCCGGGTACTTGAGGCCTAGCAGAAGAAGACAAAAGTTGGCATTTTTAGAGGCCCAAAAGTTGTAGGCTAGGTCTAGGCGAGTACCAGTCCAACCAGTCTGAGCATAGGGGCGGTACGGGCAATATCAGAGTCTGCAATGATGTTTCCCTCCGAAAGGGAGGAGGTACCTGTTGCTTGGAGCCTGCGCGGTCTAGGAAGTCACCGCCCAAGAGGCAAGCAGGCCGCTATATCTCCAGGAGGAGCAAAGTGCTACTCCTCATTCTTCGGTGTGCATGTATGACGACACACTGCTTGGAGCGCTGGCTGGAGCAATGCTGCTTGGAGCAGCGCTGCTGGGGAGGACAGAGCGACCAGCTCTCCACCGCGGCTATGGTGGAGGAGCACGGGCTGGAGGAGGGAAACGAGGACTAGTAAGAGGGAGAGCGCCAGAGGTACTTACCCGGCTATTGAGGATGCCATTTTCATCACCTTGGTGGACGCTGCATCTGGAAAGCCCCACTGGGGTAGAGTTGCACCAAGAAGCTTAGAGGCAGAGTCAGGCATGCAGGACTGAGCAGGAGCAGTCATAGCTGCTTTGTGTTGTCCTTTGCACAGCAGGGCAAGGCCCTGGTAGTCCGCCATAGCCTCAGCCTTTGAGGAGGAAGGAAGAAGGGTGGCCATGGCTATGGCGGACCTCATGTGATACCTGCAGCAGAAGAGGGATTCGGACATTGATTCTGGTTCAGCCATTCAACATTATTATTATTATTTTGTGTTTGAATAAGAGGGGAGGAGATAAGAAGGAGGAGAGTGGTTGGCGAAGAAGAAGGGAATTCTCATTGGTCTTTGCTGGTATACATCTTCTCCTTTAGAAATTGGCCAGGATCATAACATTGGTATCGAACGGATTCTACTTGTTGGCGAGAGTTGACTTTACCGCTCCAACCCTAACCTACATTGGAGGGCTACCACTTAGGGTTAGGGCTGGAAGTTCAGGGAAGTGGGGCAGTGTGGTTAAGGGAAGTTGTCCCCACCTGGTTAGATCGTGTTGGGTCTACACTGGACCTAACCAGCTTGCTTGAGACTAAGTTTGGGGTGGCGAGACACTTGGAGAAGACTTTGTGCTACAGTTTGGGAGAGGCGACAGTGAGAGGCACTTGCACCTGGAAACTGATTCAAGGGAGACACTTGGTGACTTTTGGGAGAGCCATTCTGCATCTACGGACTGCACGTTGCTACTTTGTTCTCCAGCATCGGCGAGGGATCCGGCGTTGCACTTTGGTTTTGGAGTCAGACCCTCCTAGTAGATAGGACACTAGTGTAGGGGTTGCGTTTAAGGGATCAGGAGGACCATATGAGAGGGAGTTGAGTTCTATTCATCTTGAAGCTCAGGCCACCCCCAACAAAAGAACCAAACACAGCTAAGGAAATGACTTACCAAAGTGGCTATGGCTGATGCTAAAGAAGACTGGGTCTTGCTGGCTGAGAAAATATTGATGAGGGATTGGCAGCTCAGCCGTCCTGAGGATGTCTGGTTGTGCTTTTTCGTGGAGTCGTTTCTACGAAAAAAATTCTCTTCTGAGTTCTGGGACGCAGTAAGAAGAGCATGGTCGAAGCACCCTCCAGAGATCAGAGTGTCGCCGGTCACAAAAGAAGAAATGCTATGTCAATGTGTTTTGAGAATCCCTTAATCGTTGATGAAGAAGGGGTCACTTTCTCGGCTGTCTCTAAGCCCGGCTCCTTTGGTAAGTCTTGGATAAGAAGGGGAGTCTGAAAAATCGCAGGGTTCAGAATCTGACGCAGAGCGGCTTCAGAGAAGTCCAACGTTGGGCGGTGGCAGAACATTCCGGCGACCTTGCTCTGACAGGTGAGGAGGTGGTGATGAAGTGGACTAATCCCCCCCAAGCAAGAGTGGTCCAGAGCTTTAATCGAAGGGGGCGATTAAAATCCACCGTCTGGGTGGGTAAGATGATACTAAGATCCCTTTAAGGGATTTGGCGATTGATCCTTCGGCCTGGAGGTGGAGAAAAGGGAGAGTGTCATTGGCCAACTCATAGGGCTTGGACCTGTCCAATTACATAGTCCAGGAGTCTTACAGGCTCGCAGAAAGGAGGTCCAGAACCACAGTGGGAGTAGCCATCTCCAGATGGAGTGCAGTGTTGATGAAAGATCTCCAGGAAAGGGACGGAGACTTCGCGAAATTGTGGCATGTTCTCCTCATTATCCCTGACCTCAAACAAGCAAGCCGCCTCTGGACGCTCTCACTGCTAGTCACTCCGTCGGCTGGCTGGCTTTGCAGCAGGGGGATGGAGGTCTCCCTGAGATGCTCCCGGTGTACTCGGCCTTTTGAATTCACCAAGCATCTGTGGTGGGATTGCCCGGCGTCCAGGAGGGTGTGGAGATGGTGGAAAGATCACTGGACCCGGTTAGGAGGGGAGGGAATTGAATGGAATGAGCACTGGGTCCTTTTGGGCTTGGTGCAGACTGAGCAGAAAGGGAAGAAGAGTTGGCCGTACGTGGCCCATGTGGTGAGAGCGGTGATTTGTTCTGTGGTCTCGACGGACAGGAACCACTCCAGGTTTGAGAGGTGCCCATTCTCGGACCTAGAAATCAAAGCAGGCATCAAAAGAGGATTAAGAAGAGCAATTTGGGCTGACTGGCATCGGACAGCCAACTGTGGCAGAGCCCCAAGGCAGCAGTTGTGGTGGTTTCTGAGAACTTGGGCAAACGGCAATCAACTGGCAGGGGTGCACACCACACGAGGACTGGCCATCTCGAAGTGATTCTGTAGCTAGATCGTAGCTAGGAAAGAATGGGTAGGGGGACCAGCGCATCTCGGTCAGTAGGGGGGAGGCTAGAGAGTGCCAAGGGTATAACCAGGACACTCGGTTAGTAGGGGCGCAGTGGCCCAACTTGTGCGAATCGTTAAAAAAAAACATTCATTCTACAACGTTCTCTAATAAGTGGCCCCGTGGGAATGTTTGTCCGGTCATGTAAATCTTCGAAAGGATTCATTTCATTACTGAATTTTATTTCCATAATAGGAGACGTAAACGCGGAAGGCGCTGAGGCGTTTAAAGGGTTCTCTTCCTTTTTGAAGTTTCTGGAAGAGTACGCGTGAGTGGCAAGGGAACTGAAACGATTGCAAAAAAGGCAAACCTGTATACACGAGTCCAGAGAGAGCTTTACGACGCATCACAGAAGGAGAGAGTAAAGAAGGGAAAGGGGAGGGGAATTGTGGGGGGGAGTGGTGGGGAGGGAGGGATATAGAGAGAGGGAGAAAGAAAGGAAAGGAGGAAGAGGGAGATGGCAGGAATTCGAACGGCTACGCGGGGAAGGGGAGAAGGCAAAAGGGAAGAAGAGGGAGATGGTGGGAATTCAAACGGCTACGGGTTTGCCTAATCGACCGTAGACCGCCCGCCACCTTCCTGCCTTCCTGCCTTTTCAAACCCAGGACTACAGCCCACGGGCAGACCCTGGGCCACCTGCTACCCGGAAGACTGAAGTGCAGTTTGGAAACTCGGTCGCACGACCTTTCTGCAAACCCAAGTTTCAAATGCATTTGGTGGGAACTTAGGGCCTGACTGGACTGCAGAAACCCTGTTCTGAATACATTTTCAAAATTTCAAACTGTTTTTGTGACCCCGGCGTAGTTATCCCTATGAATTATTATTTTATATTGCTTTCTTTGCACTTGCCACCTGTTTATCAGTTACCTTTTTTCTTTCAACTATCCTCCCCTTCAGTCTGAAGATACGGCTTTGTTTTCCATTCCCGTCCTTTCCCTTGCCCCACTACAGTCCCACTATCCCCAGCTCTTAGTCCTTTTCTCCAAACAGTGAAATTTCCCTCCAAAGTCCGTCAACATTCACTTGCTAATTGCCTGTTCTCACATCACAAATCTACGTTCTTCACTACCAACCCCATATCTCCCCTCTCCTCATTTCAGTCAGACCCATTCTTTCAGCTTCCCGTCCTCACAGAATCATCTGAACCTCCTCCCATTTACCGTCCACATTCACTCTCCACCTTGCCAATTCCAACACCACTTGCCTACTCTCACACCCCTGCCCACATTCATACGAGAACCTCCCGACTTCGCATCACAACTCCACACCGCCCAACTCCAAACCCACCCCTTACTCTTCCTTAGCGTAGCCCGACTCGCTTCCAAACTCCAAGCCC